ACTGCAGTGATCAGCCAGCGCTTGCAGGGGGGGCACCGGCGCACCCACCTGCCCCCATGCCCATCGCCCAAGCATGGCCACTCAGGGGATGCACCGGCGCTCTCAGGGGGTGCACGTGCACCCCTGTGCACTCCCTATGCGTCGCCACTGTTATCGCCCATGAGATAGGTCCCACCACCTCTGAGCATGCAGTAGGCCTGGGGTGGCAGGGCAGCCAGGCTATACCTCCCAGCAGCCCCAGTGGCAGTGGCTCCTTCTGGCTGCCACTACTAGCATTGTTGCCAGTGCTGGACCCAGCCCCACTGCCTGGGTACCCCGGCCCGTCCACCCAGTACCCACTGCTCAGAGTGCTGGACAGAGCGGGCTCTCCATGGAGACTGCTGGGACCTCCACAGGCAGGGTGCACTCAACTGGGCATATGGGATGGGGCTGTAGGTGGCCAGGGAGTGGAGTCCAGGAGCAGGGTGGGCAGGTGGGGCTGGGATCGGGGGCTGGTGACAGTGTGGGGCTGTGCAGGGAATGAGCTACAGTTCTGCCCTGGGCCCTGGCCCCACACTGTCACCACCCGGTGATCCCAACCCAGCCCCAGTCCCAACCGCCCATCCTGCTCCTGGATGCTGCTGCCAGCCCACATGCAGCCCTATCCTATGTGCCTGACTGAGCATGCCCTACCCACAGGAGTCATGGCCAGCCTCCATACAGACCCCATCTTCCCACTCCATCTGGTACCCCCAGTCCGGTGAGGTGTTGCAGGGGAATCTGTTAAAACTGTACTGCCAATTCCAAGTGTAAAATACAGGCATCCTATTTATCTTTTCTAATGCAGATATTATTTTCATAATTGTATGCCCTGTTCTCCTTTTTTATTTAAGCAATGGAAGGCAGAACTTTTAAGAAGGTCAAATTAAGAAAAAAAATGGTTTTTTTGTAACTTGCTATGTTTTATCTTAATGCATTAGTCTACTAGTAAATAAATAAAATCAAATTACCTGGAGTATAAGCAAAACTTGATCCTATACCCACTAAGAGGCCATGGGTTAAAAACAGAATACTTATATCATGAGCAAAAGATGAAGAAATGACACCTGCAATCATAATTAGAGCTCCAAATACTGCTACTTTTATGGCTCCATATTTCTGCAGAAGTTTTCCAGAAACAGGACCAAAAATCATGATGAAACCATAACTGAGTGATCCAATCCAGGCTGGAAAAGGAAATACACCCTTGCAATGAAATGCATTTTACAAGTCATAACGAGAATGTATTAATTAGCAGATACTTCACTGATATAAGCTGGCATCGTTCCACTGAAGACAGTGGATCTGATTTCTACTGATTCAAACCAAATGAAGATATATGTACTTACTACATCCAAGAGACAGTCTTACTTCTAATACCAAGCATTGCCTACTGTGAGAGGTGTTGTGCTCTCTACCATTAGGTACCATATGTTTTTTGAAACTAAGACAAGCCCCCCACCCCACCATCAGTACAGAAGGAAAAGCCCCTCATCTTAGATTCAAGTACAAAGTGGGGGATGAAGGAAGGGGGATGCAGCCGCTGAGGCTCTGACTCTGGCCCCAAGTCTGTGTTGGGGCCAGAGTCAGACCCTCAGCAGCCTCTTGCTTCTCTGAGCCGCTTGCCTTCTGCAGTTTCTACCCCTCCCCCACAACCTTCCCTCTGCCCCTGACTGTCAGGCACAGCTTGGCTCTGGCTTAGGCTGGATTCCCTCCTAGGCAGGTAACAGAGGCCAAGCAGCAAGGGGGGGGTGGGACTGGAAGAGAGAGAGAGAAATTGTAGGGGAGGGAGAAGGAACAGACACTGTGGGGGAGGCAAAGGAGGCAGAGATTGTGGGGAACTAGGGGTAGACAGGTGAAAGTAGCAGGGGTGGGGCAGGAAGGCTGCAAAAGGGAATAAGTGGGGGACAGAGAGCAAGGGGTCTGTCTGACCCCACCCCAGCCACTGCCTTCCGTGCTATAGCATTTGTAGGGGGGGGACAAACTTAAGACAACCATCCAATAATTAGATTGTGTACCTGGAAAAGTATAATAAATGTATTTTCCATGCATAGAATTTACTTATTGGGGGATCATCTTACATTCAGAATCACCTCACATTTGAGTGAATACAGTAAATCTCAGCACTTGACAGGGTTAAGTTCAAATTAACTGTCGTTGAAAATTAAACACTTTTAACCATATAATTTCAGAAATTATGATAAAAGTATATCACAGTGGTTTAAGTCACAGCTTTTAAAATCTCTCATAAAGAAAAGATATATTAATCTAAAATAATACAATGTATATAATGAATAATTCACTCCTTCCTTTGTATTTCTAGTAAAAACAATCCAAACACATTATACTAGGAATGTGAAACTCAAGTCAAGAGGAAAAGAAATTATATTTGTAATTATGCTCAGTAGGTCAGAATATAAATTTAAAATACATACCACCCGCAATGTAAAAAAAAGTTACCACTGAAATCAATACTAGGGCTATAACTGATTTTAGAGTAGTGCCTAAACTAAAGAAATAGATTGATTCTGATTGACCCAAAGTATTTTTTCTCTTTTTCCTACCAAACAGAAGTCCCCCAAAAATCCATTTTGTACCAGGCAAAATATTACAAAGGGAGACCAAACAAAATAACAAATGCAATTCAGGTTGGAAAATGTGACCATTTTAGGGGGGGGAAAAATATCTGAAACAGCTACTCTATAAGAGCATGGAACCTGGACTGCAGTAATGCTATATGGTTCATATTCCCCTGCATTTACCTTTATAGTAGTTCTTCTAAGCAAAGAAACATATTAAATACAACAAACATTCTACCGAAGAAGAAACATTTAGAATTTCTGAGGTAAGCATTTCAACAGCAGACTGTTAACTAGATCACTTTTCAATGATATATTGCATTAGAAATGCTGATTTAGTTTTGGGCTACCTACACAGAAATATCAAGCCTTGGTTTTATATAATTAACTGATGACGTACCTGTCCGTGAGCTACTTGACTTGAAGGTCTCAAGTAAGGATACCATGTAAACACCAAAAGCAGAATGGAATCCACTGACAAGCAAAGCATGCGTAGATGCAGCCAGCACCACAACCCATCCCCAACCTCCATCCGGAGGACAGTCCAAAAATGAAATCTCTTTCTGGAGACTATCAGTATTATCCTTTTCCTCCAAGCTGCGTGTAACTTGATGCAGCAAAGTCCGTAACCTTCTCATTTGTAACATGACTCGAATTTATGACCTGCATATAAATACATTTTTTTCATAGAATACATGATTCATTAAACTTTAATAAACACATCAGCAGTAAATGTAGTAGTTTTAGCTACTAACCTCCAAATGAATAATTCTGCTACTAGTAATGGACTCAGTCAATCCACTGGTCTCCATTAAAATGTTTATTAATGTTATAAATTTATGAATGTTTCCAAACATGAACAAGCTAAAAACAAAAGTACCTTGATACGGAATTATATATGAGACCATCACACTTTTACAGACAGATAAACAGATCTAGAGTGGTTATGCGACTTTCCCTGTAGTATCAGAGTGGGTGATAGCAGTTATATACATAAACAAGCACATTTTGTAAAATGATACAGATAGTAACTATCAAATGATTAGACTGATAAGAAGTTCAGCTTACACACTAAAGGAAGTAGAGTTCATTCTTTTCTGTATTCTAATATTTGTCAGTTAAAGTGTACCATATAGTTTTGTTCTGTAATACATTTGCATTCATTAACAACAGTGGTACTTGAAGAGCAAGAATTAAATCCAGTCTGATTTATGCCAGAATTAAGGTTAGTTAATTAGTTTTACTTACCACAAACCTTCTTGTTTGACCCAGGCAGAAAAAGTTCTGAATAGATATGATACCTTTATTAGACCAACTAAACAGTTGAAAAAAATTGTTCTTTGCAAGCTTTCGAACACAAACACCCTTCTTCACAAACACCCTTGTCTCTTAGAGAGAGTTTGACTTGGTTATTAAAGTACAGGCAACCTTTCTGCAAGACACCTCAGTCTTCTCCACAGTGCTGTAAGTAATTTTTTCTCCTTTGTAACTACCTTCTCAAAAGATCTGCATATTATGCAAATCAATCGCACGTGTACAGACAGTTTTTGTTCTTAAATTTGAACAACCAAAGAAGCTTATTTTCATTTTGCTAAATTTGAGAAACCACAATAACCAATCTTACCACATGTTAGTTCTCTGCCACCACCAATTAAGGAAAGAAAATGTTAACGGGAAGAGATAAAATTGTCACGCAGATTAAATACATAGGTTTAGTCTGCAATGACCCAGGGATTTCTTGCTGTTCTATGAGAATGTTGTCATGTGTATCCCACTCAGTTGCGTTGTTTTTAATGTTTACTCGTTTTAATTCAGATTAATTTAATCTTGATTCATAAAAAAGATATATTCAAAATGGCTTCCTATCATTCTTAACGAGTGCAGAATTTAAATCAATTATGCCAACATATTTAAGTTTTTTTTACCTTTATGTCCCTCTTCCCCCCACGTTCAAAGTTATTGGTCTATGGTGCATATTTCCTTCCTTCTTTTCCCCTCTCATTCCTTACCTGTCATGGCGCCGAGTCCAGTAGGATGGACATGGTTTCCCTAAGGCCCCCTTTACCATGCCAAGTTGACCCAATGGGCACCCTCGACTCTCGCCTGCCACATCTTTGATGACAAAATATATTTGGGAGGCTGCCTTGGTCACGTCTTGCTGGACACTCAGACCCCGTGGTTTCCCGGACGCCCCGTGGGTCCTGCTTTGCAATGAGTGCTTCAGGGGCACCCTAGCCTTATGGGCTATGCGTGGCTCCAACCACCCCTTTACCATGCCCCAAGCGTCACAGATGGAATTGACGTTGTTCGGTCACGGCCTTGTTATAATATGGGCCCCCTGTCCTCCCTGGGCCCTGCGCGGCATTGGTCTCACCCTGTGCCCTCTCTGGCGCTCGTCAATGCTGCTCCCTCTCTGGGGCTTCCCCACAATAACGCTGCCCCCCTTCTCTGGGGCTTCCCCACAATAACGCTGCCCTCCTTCTCTGGGGCTTCTCCCCAATGCTGCCCCCGGGTCAGTGCACCCCAAATGCTGTGCACTTGCTGGCACTGGGGTCCCCACACTGCTGTGGGTCCTCTATGAGGCCTCCTCCAACCCCTAATAGCCTCACCCAAACCACTGGTATTAAACAGTAAAACAAAACGCAATCCCCTGGGCTATAACATAAACTGAAGACACCCAGCTATAACCACGTTTCCTTTGTAAGCACCTTCTTAAAAACCTGCATGTTATGCAAATAAATCCCATGTGTACAGACAGTTTTTGTTCTTAAATATGAACAACCAAAGAAGCTTATTTTCATTTCGCTAAACTCCAAACACTCCGGGGATATTCCATCCTTTACCCAGCTCAGGCTGTACCTGCAGTCAAGCCTCTCCTCTCAGCTTTGCTCCGGGAGAGCTCATTCCCCCCTGGCTGCTGGTAGGGAACTGCTAGCCTGGCCTCAGCCCCTGGGCTTTATATGGGAGCCAGGCCCTGCCTCTTCTGGTTAGCTGACCTCCTCCGGTTGCCCTGGCAAACAGCAGCTGGGCTCGTCACTCACTGCTAGGGCTTTTTCTTTTCTCCCTTCTTAGGAGCAGTGCACCCGAGTGCTCTGCGACATTACTCTTTTTGTGTTGTGTTCTGTCCGTCTTTTCCTCCTCTCTCATCTTCTCTATCACTTAGTCCAGGGCTTTTCAAACTTTTTAAAACAAGTATACCCCTTCTGCCTCAAAGTTTCAGCTCACGTACCCCTGTATCTTTTTTTCTTGTTTTTAAGAGGTGGTGGGGGCAGATCAAGGCCCACACGGTGAGGGAGGGAGTGGGGTTGGGGCAGGTGCTGTACAGCCAGGGCGGAGCACAGGATGAAGGCACAAGAGTGGATTGTCCAGGGGGCGCAGCAGAGGGGTGGGCAGCTCCTGCCACTACATGCACATCAGTGGAGGCCCAGGGAGCATGCGCTCCCCAGATCTGTGTGCAGGGCAGAGGTAGCTGCTGCTTCAGGCTGGACTCTGCACCCCGCTGCCCCAAGAGCCACATGACGCCATGTGCCTGCTGCCACTGGGCAGGCAGGGGACAGACAGACACACAGATACAGACAACCCCCACAGCAGGTAAGTGTGTGTGGGAGGAATGGGCAGGGTCTGGAGAGAAGGAAAGAGCGGGGGGGGGGGGGGCAGGTCAAGACCCCCACAATGCCGGGGGAAGTGGCTCAGGCCAGGGCCGGGCAGGCCCCATGGGACAATAGGAGCCTGGTGGTGCATCCAGGGGCACGGAGGAAGGGGGTGGGGGAGGGCTTCCACTGCTGCATGCACCACGGGGGAGCATGTACCCCCCTTATCTGTGTACAGGGTGAAGGTGGACTGGGCTCTGCTCTGCCTCTGTGCCTCACTGCCACTGCTTTGAGAGCGGTGCAATGCCACGTGCATCCTGCTGCTTGGCAGCTCACTGCCGGCCTGCTGCCCGCCCAGCAACAGAACGTACATGGCCATCACACTGCTCTCAAAACAAGCAGTGGCAGTAAGGCATAAAGGGTCTGAATGGGGGAGGAGAGAAATATGTCTCTGTGCCCACTTCCAGGACCAGGCCTGGGGTGGGCGGGCGAGGGGAGCGGTGCCCCTCTGTGGGCCGCACAACGCCACCCAGCCAGCTGGATACAGGGGGAGGAGGTGGCTGCACGCAACAGCCACTGCTGCTGCCACCCACCACCCCGTGCTGCCACCTGCTGCTCTGTGCCGCCAGTGCCACCACTACTGCCCAATGATGAGGCTGAAGTTGGTCCCTTTTTCCCAGTTCCTTATTCCTGGTTCCATATTCTTTACTCCCAGTTCCTTTTTCAAAGCTAAGCTAGACCCAATAAAAACTTGTTATTAATGAATTCCACATCCTAAAGAGAGAGAATTTCATTAGCTATGCATATGTACTAATTAATATGTAAAATAATATTCCATATCAAGTACAGAGCCCTAAATGAAGGTCAGATTAGGGTGGGATTATGGGGCAAAATACTTCTTGGGCCACCCCAAACTTCATTGCGATGCCACTGGGGGACTGTCCCAAAGAACCCTGGCCACAGTCCCACCTGGCCCAAAGCATGGTTTGGCTGGGCCCGGCTGCCCACGAACAGAACAGCCCCCATGCCCACTATACTAATTATAATGGCTTGAATAAGGATTTGGCTTTCCAACTGGAATTATGGCTAGAAATTCTGCTTGGGCCACCCATCAGAATACCTCTATGCCACTGGGAGACTGTCCTAGACATCCTCCATCTTCTTCTTGGAAAACTTTTCATGTTCCAAGCCAAACCAATTCCAAATCAATGGAGTCATTCAAGAACTGTATGTGTCCCTACCATCAGCAAACATCCCCTACATCCGCCCAGGGCTGCAGATGCTTCCAAACCCTTTGGTAAGCATCCTCCGCACAGGCCCAAGCCTGAGGACTTGGGGTTTGGATGCCCCCGAGTTTCGCTTGCCCTCAGCCATATATATGGCCACAGGAGCAGTCTGCCACATCCATAAGATGGGCACAAAGCCAAGATCTTCCCACTGCAATTGGAAGTGGAAAACTATGCCTTACCTTGGTCAAAGTGCTACCCCCTGCCAAAAAAGTAGTCTTCCCCTGTCCCTAGGAAAACCACCTTAGCAGTCATGGTATCTCCCCTGCCAGGTATTTCAGGTAATAATTTTTTTAAAATGTTTCATATTCCAATCAAGATTGGCCAAATCCATTCCAAATCCTTTAGTCCAGAACCAAAAGTGGCAAACATCCTACTGGCAAACATCCTCCACCCCCCGCCTTGGGGCTTCAGATGGTCCCAAATCCTTTAAGCCTGCAAGTGAGATGCCTGCCAAGCCTGGAGACTTGGGGTTCAGATGCCCCCAAGTTTTGCTTGCCCTCAGCCATAAGGTATTTCAGGTAATCTTTTTTTTTTTTTTAATTATTAAAATCTATCTATCTTTAGGTATTTCAGGTAATCTGCCAGCACTTTCTTCTGACAACTTGCCTCAAAATAAAGAAAGGCTTCAATTTTGCTAACCCAGGTCTCTCTCACTCAGACTTACTTGCATGCTTATTTGCACACTTCCTTCCATTTTTTTCAGTGTGCAATCATTTTTTCAGCAAATATAAAATGCAAAAATCTAAAACTCATAGTTCAGAAACGATCCCTTTTATCAGCCCAACTGAGAAATTAAAAAAATAACATTCTCTATTGCCCCCTCAGCAAATACGATACATTTGGAGCTTCCAAAAAGGTAATGACACGCGCGAGACATGTCAAAGCTGCGCCGTGGAGCTCCCCACGCCCACCGCAGGCGGGGCAGCCTATGACGCCGCCGTGACGCAATAGGCACCTGGGAACCGCGCGGGGCTACTCTTCAGCCCGGGCCCCTTGGTCGGGGACTGCGCGGGAGGAAAGGGGCTTAGCCATCACGAACTGACATCACGGAAAGGAGGCGGTGTCTTAAACAGCCGTCCAGCCCGCACAGCTGTGCCGGCCGCAGTCCCCTCAGGCGCGGGGAGGGTCTGGTGCCCAAGGGGGAGGAGCCGCCCGCCCCTACCCACGCTGTTGCGGCACCTGCAGCCGTTGGTGCCGCCCCACCGAACTCCGCGCGCGAGGGGGCGGAGCCAACCCCCCTATCCCCTCGGGGAGTGAGTGAAACAAGTTCCCCTTCACACGCACACACCGGAGGAGGGGCCTGAGTGGAGCGGGAGGCGGAGCATGGCGGTGTCACGTGCCCTCCTCCCGGTGCTGGGGATGGGGATAGGCGCGTGTGATTGGTGGAGCTTGTTGGTGACGTGATGGCCCCGCCCCCCACGGGGCATCTCAGCAAATGCGTAGGTTTGAGCCTTGTGGGGTGGTGTCAGCTTTTTGACCAGAGGCAAATGGTGGGGCAGGTGTGGTCCAGGAGGAGGACTGCAGGACGTGGGGGGGGGGGAGTTATATCACTAGGTTCCTGGGTGGAAGCTCTGGGGTTGCCTTGTGCCCACCAGTGCTAAACATTGCAGAGGGCCTTGGAAAGTCTTTCTGCTCTTATTTAGTGATGCTTTACTGTGCATTAGCCTAAAAACACTGCACCATAGGCTACTAGCATGGTTTTGCCATGACACGCTACTGCACAGTGTTATGAGGCTGATGCACAGTAAGTGTCTTGTGTAAACACACACAGAAATCTGGGTTTTTTCCATTAAAACATTGACTGCTTAAAAGTTCATTCACCTGATCTGTTTTATGCACTTGGCTGTTTAAAGTTCATTCAGCTGCTTTATTTTAGCTACTTCTGGATGTGCGTTAATAGATTGATTGGAGGTAGACAAGCACGCTTGCATAACATTTATTCATATTTATTGTCCCAAGATGACAGGCCTGATGCCTGGAGCAAGATCAGCACGCAGAGAATGAGGTGGACAGGACACATTGCGAGAGCAGCTGGGAGAAGGTGCGAGAGGCAGGTTTTGGAAGCTGAGGTGGAGAAAGCAGACCACGGTAACGGTGGGAAGATAACAAAACCTGATCTGGAAGGGACAGGCAAAGTTGTGACGAGGTGGAAGGAGATTGCACAAGATAGGAGGAGATGGAAGGCTTTGGTTAAGGTGGTTATAGGTCCTCGAGGCCTGTGAGACCCGCAAGAGAGAGAGAGAGAGAAAACACCATATTTGTGTGAGAAAACATCTATTGTATACCTTGCTAGAGACTTACATTTCAGTTACTATTAGGCAGCAAGGTATTAGAGCTAAAGGATGAGGGTAATTCAGGCATAAGAGCTAGTAATGTCTTTCTTCCCCGTTATCACACACTTCAGTTAAAGTATGAGAGACAGGCAATAATCCTCCTAAAAATACTTTTCCTTTTACATTTTATTAATATCGATTTTAAATACTAGAAAAATTAATGATGTTGCTTCAGCAGTGATGACATTGTTAGGGCTGTAATAAGTCTTGTTAGTAATTTCTGGCTGTGGCAGGGGACTGTGTTGTACAAATGTGATTGTCCTGCTGCCTCCTTTTTTATTGACTGTGTTATAAAAATGTGATTGTCCTGCTGCCTCCTTTTTTATATTGGACAGCAGCACTACTTTCATGTTTTCTGGAGGAATGCATTTTTTTTACAATGTGGGAAGTGAAGAAAAGCCTAAAAAATAGTAAGCTAAGGCAACACACCCAAAACTTTAGCAAAATGGAAGCCCTGCAATTAGTATACATAGTACCTGTAATATTCTAGAAGTATTAAAAATATACTTGATCATAGTCATATTTATATGTTACTAAGAATTTGGGTAGGGTGTACTGTACTATACTGTACTAATGTTCACTTGTAAATTAGTGGTAATGAGCCTAACCTTTGTTAAGTGCTTTGAGATCTACAGAAGAAAAGTGCATTTGAAGTGTTAGATACCACTTAATAAAATGTAAGAAGTGCAGGGAACGTGTCACTAATACTGTGGCAACAGAAACATCAAATTAAACATATACGTGCAGCATTTCTGTTTAAAACGGTCATAAGTAGCACAGAGGATGGCAACAGGATTACTACAACATTTAGGAAGAATCTCACTTTCATTTACTCTCATGTAAGCCAACTGTAAAACTCATACTGTCTCAAACCAAGTAGGATTAGACTTTATTTTAGCTTACTAAGTCACCCTGGTGGTGCACAGTATTTTATTTTGCTTTTATTTTTGTTATAGGTTTAAGATGCTGAAGTTACAACTATTTAAATTATATTAATAAAATCATGGAATTTATAATTCCTCTGACTCTTAATTTTCCTTTATTAGTTTTTTTTAATTAATCAGTGCACAGAAAGTAATTATGTTGGCAAAGGAAAGCATGATAATGAAATACAGATGATGATAAATAAGAGCACTATGACTGCAGGCTGATTTGCAATTTGCATGCCCTTTATCAAGGATGTATTTTTGTTACTTATGCTTTTCCACCCTTAACATCTTTGCAATGTTTATTTTGCCATGTGGCCAAATTCTGACTTCTATATACTACATGCACCCTGGGGGCAAGGCCATCTCACCACCACTGTCTACACTCCCAGGGGACACTGGGGACCTGTGACCCCTAGATCTGTCCGCGGGGCAGGCGAGAGGGTGGGTGCGAGCTGCAAGCTCGGGCTTCCACTCTGCTGCACTACCCTGGGGCCTCCATAGCCCAGTGGACGCAAGTCGGCGTGGCAGACAACATCTGGGCTGTGCGGAGAAGCTGCTTGTTGCTGCGAGCTCCATGCTGCCCTGGTGATGCACCCCCTGCATGCATGGCAGCACTGAGCAGCGCAGCCCTGCACTACTGTCCTCGCTGCAGCCATGTGCACAGGGGACGTATCACCAGGGCAATGCGGCGCTCACAGCAACAGGCAGCTTCTCCACACAGCTCCACTGTTCCCTACCATGCTGGGTCACACCCGCTGGGCTGTGGAGGCCCCAGGGTAGGGCAGCAGGGTGAGAGCTTGTGCCCGCCCTGGACACAGGCCCCTCCTGCCCCCTGGGAGTGTGCGCATTGGTAGGGAGACCCCCCCACCCCACTTGAGCGCACAGCCCATCCCGCCCCTGCTCCGTGCACAGATCGGGGCGGGGGAATCCCCCCCTACCCCCTGGGGAGTGGGTGCACCAGCAGGGAGCTGGCCTTCCCTGCCCTAGCCTGCAGCAGGCAGGCAGCAGGGGGGAGCCAAGCTCTACTCTGCTGCAGCAGCCATCGCCTCCTGCCAGGGACAGGGGGCTGTGATTCTGGGTCCCTGGCCCTATAGCCCTGGCAACTGGGGGGGGCAAGGGGCTGTTGCTGGGGGGCAAAGGGCACCAGCAGGGCTGAAGGGACTGTGGGGGGCAAAGTGAGAGGCACCAGCAAGGGGGTGTGGGTGGGGGGGGGGGGGCTTTAATTTTAATCATAGATTTTGGGGGGTTTAATCAGAGAATCTGCTATTTTTTTTAATCAGGGAAAACCAGGATCCCTGGCTATTACCAACATCAGCCACAAGGGTTCTGAGTATTCACAAAGAAAATGGCTGTAATTTTTGTCTCTTTTGAGGGGTGGTAGAATTTAAGATTTCTGCACAGTTTAATGATCTTCTGGATGCTGATCTTCCAGCATCATCTGCATAGAAGTTCTCTACATGTTTCCACCTTGTGCTGCTCTCCAGATTCACTGCAGTGTATTTCCTCTTGCTTCCAACAAACTTCCTGTTCAATTGCAAAGCCCCAGTTCTAATTTCTGTGGGTCTGAGGACAGTATAAAGAGGTGTCCCCACCTACACTGCCATCTCACCTCCTTAGAGATTGGAGCAGATCCAGAAGTGCACAGGCAAAAACTCTCTTCATGAGTCCTAAGAAATAAAATTGGTACCAGGATTGTGAGTGCTTCCTCATGTCCTAAATCATCCCCCAGGCTCTTAAATCAATCATCATGTGAAACACCACAATACAAGTAAACAAAACCCAATAAGGAGTTTATTTTTATTGCACAGAATATAAAATAAAACAAGTATATCTTACTTATGTAATTTCTCAAACACTACATAGAATATCTGCTGAAGCCAAAGTTTCACTTGCAAAAATAATAAAGGCAATAACAGTAGACAAACTTTTAAATGATGTATTTTCCATCATATATATAACAAATATAGTACACATTCTAATATCCAAATTTTTAAGGAGAAGGGGAGACACTGAATAGGTCTGGGTAATAAAGGTTGTAAGATGAATAAAGTTATGTACACTGTGATCAACAGCTGTAGCAAATGATCCCATTCAGTTACTTAAAAGTCAAGATAATGAAGACTGAATTGTGGTGTTTTTCTGACAATCAGTTCTTGCAGTTTTATTTGTGGAATTTCTTCTAGAAACAACACTGCTATATAAAGCAAATATATGTATATATATTTATGTAATTTTTATTAACTCGTTTTCAAAATTTACAGTTAATTGAATTTAATTAACATTCAGCCACATTTAATGTCCACATTTAAAATATTCAGACATAATGGGCTCCAATACATGTGCAGTGAGGCTGCTCTGATGTGCTGTAATTACAGCATGTTGGAGCAGACTTAACTGAGTCTGTTGGAGCGTGGTAATGACCATGTTCCAGCAGACTCCAGCATCATGTGTATCAGCGTCCCTGTGCTGAAAAATGCTGCAGGGGGCGCTCTGAACTAAAGCTCATTTTTCAAAGTATCTTGCTGCCACTGATACCTGTGATGCTCCAGGTGCTTTTAATTAGTATGGCTCTCGAGCTGTGCTAATTAAAGCTCCCCGCCTGCCTCCCAGAGCACATCTATAAATGCCCAATAGTACATAGTATTTATATCTGAGAATTTCAGTGTACCATATAAGCAATGCTGAATCATACTAATGCAGACAGTCATATCTCTCCCTCAGCAGTGTAGTTCTTGGCCTACTCCTGTTGACACTGGCAGGGATTCCCTCCTCTCTTAAGATGCTCTTTCCCCTCTGCAGTTAGTTAACAAACCCTACAGGAGGAGTTGTGCACTGCAAATTGCCTCATTTATGCTGCCAAGGTGCATTTAATCTAGTTCCAATAAAGGCCAAATACTGCTGAGCTAAGCCATCCTCAAGAAACAAGAAACACACTTTCATAAATTCAAAATTATTTTGGAAATATATTTCAAAATATTTATTATTTCATTCAAAAAATGTATTAAGTAATCAGAAAAAATAAAGTGGCATTTCAGTCTCTATCAAGATGACATTCACAAAATGGTTTCAGTGGAGTATGAACCCCAAAACACCAATGTTAAACCAAGAAATCTCTTCCCAGATAGCTTTTATTATTCTTGAACAAAAAAAATGTGAGCTGATCATTGAATATTAAGTGGTTACTTAAAGAAATATTACTGTCTTCTATTAGTATGGTCTCGACCCAAACCTGTGCCAATATAGGCAACCATAACTCTATAACTATTAAATAAGGCACTAGACTGGACTGTGACTCAAAACCTAAATTCTAATTGCAGCTCTGCAACTCACCTGCTGTGCGTCAGTGATCCTGTCACTTCACCTCTGTGTTCCCCTTCCCATCCTTTGTTCACAGGGCAAGCTCTTTGGGTCTGAATTGCCTGCTCATACATGTATGTAGAGTGCTATCACTCTGGTGTTCCAAATTTGGATATGGACTCTAGGCACTATTACAATGTAAATAATTAATAGCAATATAATCAGAAATACAGCAAGCCTATAGTAAAATTGTCTGTCTGACTTTTAAAAGAATCATTATCACAATTGGAATATTTTGGTTGATATGAGACAGCTGAGTTGAGAGTGCTTCAAAACCAAAATACTAAAGCAATATCAGATCAAACTGGCATGAGGAAAAAGGAAGCTGTTTGATACATCTTGCTTTCCTAAGAATGATAAATGCATGTATTGAAGAACAGCATGAATGTTAGTTAGGCAGATGATTAATAAATGAGTTTTCCATACAGTAGAGTTATTCTTTTGTTTTTATTAATAGTTTTGATGGAGGGAGCTATCATGATCATAGGAACTACCATTTTTGGTGTAAAATAGTCATAATTGCTAGCTGTAACATGAAAAATAGGATTGGCTGGAGTTGCTGGATGAGAAAAATAAAAGCTTAGAATATTACTTGTATTACATAGTAAAGGATGATACATTATCACTCGTAATTTCACTTGTCTGCCTTGAGTGATAGATATCAGAACTTATCCTTGAATTGGCTGTTTTGTATTTCTTGAATCCTATACAACACAGACTGTTCATTATCTTCAAAAAGTAATTTCTAAATTTCACCCCAACAAATGCATAGAGCACGGGGTTCAAGCAACAATGCAAGAATGCCACAGTTTCAGTAATACATTTTGCATAACTTATATGCCTTTCGCTATCACATCTTCTATTTAATTTGCCCATATTTGTGGCTGTTATAAGAAGAACTATGTTATAGGGTACTTGACAAACCAGGAAAACAGCTACAATTAATAAAATTACACGTATTGCTTTGCTTCTTTTGGAATTCTGAGCTTGCACTAAGGTTTTGACAATGAATGCATAGCAAAAAATCATAAAGAGCAGGGGGATAAAAAAGCCAAACGCTAGTTGTATACCCATGAGCATTAATTTCAGTGCAGTGCTGTTTACTTCTTTACTAAATTTGAGTTCGCAAATCTCTGTTGTATCATTCAGAAAAATGCTATAGCTTTCACTGTATATGAAAGTGCAGGTCGAGATTAAAATTGAGAATACCCACACAACCAAGCAGATCAGTTTGCTGTATGCTAAGGTTCTTGCCCTAAGTTTAAATGACTTTGTTGCTTGTACAATGGCAATATATCGGTCCAAACTGATAAAGGCCAAAAGCAGCATGCCACAATTGAAGTTGATAGCATAGATACCTCTGGTCATTTTGCATATGACATCATTGAAGATCCATTTGTCAGCAGCATAACTCATTGCCCACAATGGGAGAGTGAGAACAAACAATAAATCAACTATGGCCAAGTTGAAGAGGTATACATCTGTCATAGACTTATGGTTCTTATATAAAGCAAAGGTCATCACTACAAAGACATTACCGATAAAGCCCACGACACAGATCAGTGAGTATGTGACTGGAAAAAATACTTTTGTGAAGTTTCTGACTTCCTGCTTGTTACATGGTTCTATAAGTCCTTCATAATCTATGGTGTATGGATAATCTGTGGAGTTCATTTCTGCCTGAAAGAAAAATGAATATAACCAGTTAATCACTCAAACATTAATATGCATTTCTGCAAGTTCTATATAGCTGGTAAACAATGGAGAATTGACTAGTATGAGACATAAAAGATCAATTTTTAAGTTTACATACAACCCTGTGTCCACATGAAAGTAATAGACATAGCCAATCCCAATATTTGGAAAATAAAGCATCAAAATGCTAAAACCTAGTCATTTTTATCCTTTCAAATCCACGTTTTTTACTTCCTCCTGAAAACCTAACCTTGTGCAATCCAGTGATACATGCAACATTCTCTGAATAAAATCTCTCCCCTACTTCAAACTTGGCCCACTACAGCTGAGATAATCCTGAATTATGTCTCTACCAATAATAGCTTTTCCACACAACTGTGAAAGGTACTACTTTAAACATAAGAAGAGATTTCTCAAAACAACAAATTAGTTTGATGGATTCTGAAGAGCCACTGAGAAAAAATAGCAGGTTTAACAAAAGCATAACTGAACTTTAAGTGCTGGAAACATTTTTTGGGACAGTTCACAGAATTCCATTCTCATCGCTCAGCTGCAGTAAATCCAGTGAAAGCATGCTCCATCAATTAAGCATATTGTTACAAACCACTTTCATTAGCTAGTCACTCCCTAGGTCAGGGAAGTTAGTAGTCTTATAGAACTGTTATTTCCAAATTAACTGTTTCTTACTAATATACTTACGTCATTCATTTTGTTAATGTGGTCTCCACTGAGGAAGTCGTGGAGTTCCATTATGGTGTTCTTAGGTGCCTGTAGAGAAGGGGAATAGATCAGGAAAGTGCAATGGGACATGTTCAGAGAGAAAAAAAATGTAATGTTCAACAATGCAAGAGTACTAGAAATAAAACACTTAAGCAAACAAACAAACAAAAAACATTACATTTCAGTTTTAGAAGTAACACATTTATTCCTCTACGAGGAAATCCCTTGTCTTCAGCAACCTTTGTAACTCTTAGAACTTGGCAAGTTGTGTAGGTGCCACTAAGACAAAAATTTGGACTGCGCTCTTCCTGGATGGAGTGGTAAAGCAGCCAGAGGCCAGTCTGTGGGCGAGAAAGCCAGAATGCTGAAATGTAAATTGAAGTGGCCTCAATTTACATTTTAACAGACTGGCTTTCTTGCATACATACAGGCGTCTGGCTACTTTACCACTCCATCTAGGAAAAGCACAGTCCATCTGCAGGCACTTCCTCAGCCTGATGAAGGGTGCTTGTGCCCAAAAGCTTGCTAAGATGAATTTTTCCAACTATTTGAGTTGGTCTAATAAAAGTTACTGAATTTACCAAAGAACCTTGCCAGCTCGTGATTCTGGAAGTCAATGAAACACAGTGAACATGGTACACTGAAACTGTCACATTATTATAGTCATTTACATGGTAGTACTATATCTTAATATTTTGCATTTATGCAACATTTTCTAAATAGTATGCCTCAACACCCCAATATAGGTAAATATTGCTAGCCCTTTTTGATATGCTAAATAGATAAATGGAAACAAAAGTTGAGTGACTTAACTGTGGAGATGCGAATTAGTATCAAAACTGAGTTTAGAATTAAGAATGCCTATGTCATCCAGTGCACAGGCTAGTCAGTGCTCAGTGAATGAGCACTTACTTTAAATTGTTTTTATCCTTGTTCACAGCACATTATTCGAGCCCCAGTCCAAAGAAAGAATAATTTATTTCTTCAAGGAATTTTCTCTGGCAAGGAATTGTCTCTTATCTTTCACAAACATTAATACATTTTCACAATACCCCATGGTGTAAGTGAGTATTGTTATCCCCAGCTGACAGCTAGGAAACTGAGGCATAGAAAGATTACATCAAAAGTGTCCACTAGTGTTGATTTTCAATCTAAAGTCAGTAAGACCTGATTTTTCGACTTTTTTATCATTATATGAAGCATCACTTTGTGTTTCAAGCAAAGACCTCGCTGACTTCAGTTGCCACTGTGGGTGCTCAGCCCTTCTGCAAATCAGGCCTCATGGTCTTGTCAGGCACCCAAAAAATAAAAAATACACATTAGTAACCACTTACAAAAGGTCTGTTTTAAATAACTTGCTGAGTACCATACAAGAATATAGTGGCAGCAAAGGGTTGGCATCCAGTTTTACAGGGCAGCATTGAATTGCCTTAACTGAAAGACCATTCTTTCTTTTTCTGGAATTCCCTACCTCAGACGATACACACAACAAATGAGTCAGACGTCCTAGAGAAGATAATTTTCTGCACAACTGTGGTTCATCCCCAGATCAGATCCATTCTGTGTATGGAAGGAGGCAGGAGTCCTATGGAAAAAATAGATAGGATCACGTAAATAAAGGCCTGAGGCCAGATCCTATTCTATTAGTTGTCTATCTATTAGTTTCTATCTGTTCAGTGCCATTTGGATGCCTAAGGCCCAGATTCTATGTACGTGTCATTTAAGTGGCCTTTAGGGGTGCCTGTAAATGTGCTGTGAGGCAGATCTGATGCACTGTAATTATCTGATTACAGTAATAACTCCATTAACTGAGTGCTGGAGAATGGTAGTTATGGCACTCCAGCCAGCCTTTGCACCTCATGTATCAGCATCACCGTGCTTCCAAGTGGCAGTGGGGGTGCTTGAACTAAAGCTCATTCAACGAACTTTAGTTCAAGCGCTCCTGCTACCATTCTGAGATGTGGAGATGCTGATACACAAGATGCTGCAGTGCTTTGATTAGAGCAGCTCTGGGAGCCGCTCTAATGAAAGCCCCCTCCCCCACCTCCCCAAGAATGTGTAAAAATGCCAAGGATACCTAAGGTTATGTCTATATTGGCTCTACGCTGTTCTTGAGACTGCACCCAAAAATGAGCCCCTCCACCCTGTTCCTGCTATGCACACTTCCAAACCAGAAATGCAGCGGTAAGAATGCTCTTGGTACATTCCCTCCACCACTCTAAAATATGCCACAGAGGACACACCTACATAAGCTATTTACTATACAGCTGACTAATTAATTGTGCATTAAATGTCTCAGCATCTACACATGTCTGTATAAGGGCACACAAAACTAATAAACTCTATAGCAGGTAGTACTTGTAAATACTTGTACTTATATTTACAAGTACTACCTGCTGCAGAGTTGTTTTTTTTGTGATCAGCAGCATACATGTAGATGCTGACCAGCTGGCTGAGGCATAAGGGTGCTTCAGTGCAGGGACTGCCTGCCAGCTAGCTCCACATTGAAGTACCCTCATGCCCCAGCCAGCCCCTCTGCAGCACATTGAGCCCAGCTGGAGCAGCCCCAGGCTGACAGGTTGACCCAGGCTCCCTGCCAGCCAGGGCTGCTGCAACTCAGCTCAATGTGGTTTGGTCCAGGCACACATGCACATGTGTGCCCAGGAGCTTCCCAGGAGCAATAATCTGTGGAGCATTAAGCACCACAATTTATTGCTGCCCCCTAGTGGTATATGTAGACGCACCCAGAGAGATCTTGAGAGCAGTGGTAAGGAGCATCCCTGAGCATCCTCACTGCCAAATGACTTGGCTTGGAGCACAGAGCGTGTGGCTATGGCTCATTTTTCAGTATCAGTTTCAAGAGCCGAGTGGGGCTACCTTAGACATACATACCCTAAGGCCCCTGATGCACAATCAGTTGGCTGTTGGTCTCAGTCTTAGTACTGTACCAGAGTTGGTTCAAGACTCCTATGTGGTCCCAGGTTGGGACCAACAATAGATAATTGGTTCCAGCTCTGGGACTGCACCAGTCTTGACCAGCTCTGTTTACCCTGCTATACATTTTATGTAAGGTGCAATGGAAACCAGGTATAAAAATGCTACACATCTTTTGTGGCTATTTTCCTATTTTGTAGTACCATTAATTCTTTGAACATGTGTCAGGGTTAGTGTCTATAGCATGACTGACAGGTTAATGGCATCATAATTGTAACATCTGTCAGAGGCCTCAGCCACTAAACTGGACTCTTCCACCCTGTGAAAGTGGACTTCCCTACTGCACTTGCTCAGAAACAACCTAGGGTGGAATTCTGTTTCCCACTGCATGCCTAACTGGCAGTTCTCTAGCTGCATAAGTGCCAGTTTGGGCACTTACATTCAGATTGCAATTGTATTACCCTAATACCGTGGATAGTACATGTGTAATAAGTGTATCCAAAGCATGAATGACAGCTGACCAGAAACCTATGACTAGATGCTGGGGGAGAAGTGGGGCCTTCCCATTCTTTAGCCTCAAAAGCTGAGTACTTAGGATACTTGCCCAGAAAGCCAGAAACACAAGTCATAGTCCCCCCCCCTCACCTACAGCCAGTTTGAAGCTGCGCCCCTCTGACTTGCTAGCATAGTGCTGACATTGTCATGTCACATTAGGAATTATCGTGTGTCCCATTCAGTGTTCCTGTTGAAGCTGGTGCCATGGGCACATGGGTAGATTAGGATTTTGAAAAGGACGGTGGCAGATGTTATGGTGCACTGTTGTATATAATGCAACAATTTTTTCTCCAGTTAAAAAGAAACTAGAAGCATTGCTAATAGTCTAGGGGCCTAAGACTATCTTATTCAGCTTAAGATCAAAGCAAAACCAAATAACTTTATAGGAATGTGCATTAATTTTCTATAGTATACAGTACATATAAAAATACAACAAACTAGGCAAATAATAATCAAAAGATGTATCATTAATCCTAAAGTCATTAGAAATAAATGTACATCTCTTATTTATATTCATTAAACAAAATCTAGAGAATCTTGAGAATCTTGACAGTGCATCCAATATTTCACTAACAGTTATTTGCACACCTGAGTTAATATTCAATATGGCCAGTCCACTGAAATGCTCTTCACCTATTGCTAAACAAAGCCAAGTTTTAAATCCCTGGAGAGTAGGAAAACTTCTTTCTGATAGAGCTATAGATACAGGAAGTGTGTAGAGAATCTTGAATAAAATATGAATATTTGAAAACCGTTTCTTGTTGCACTCTGCTAGACCAGTGGTGCCCAACCCATTTTGCCCCACAGGCCAGATAGGCAGTGCCTTGTCTGTTCTCAAGACAGATCTGGACAGTGGGCCTGATCTGGCCATGTGGAAGAAAAGGGGCATGGCCAGCCATACAGGGAGGGAGGGAGGGGGTGTGGGCTGGTCCAATCCAGCTGCATGTGGGAGCAAGCAGGGAAGAGAGCATTACCTGGTCCCCACCTGGAGGAACAGGGCTTGGAAATTTGGTAGTGGGGGCTGGAGGGGGTTGCAGTATTAATTGCCACTGCTCCCCTGCTGCCAAATTTCCTGACTCACCGGGAACTCTGTAACCCAGACGCCATGGCTCTATGGGCCGAATTTGACTCACCAGCCAGGGCTTGAGCACCCCTGCACTAGAGAATATCAATGACTATGGTCTGCACTTTTCTGTTTTCCATATGCTCCCACTTCTTGTTCCATATTTGAGATTCTGCAAAAACAGCATTCCAGCTACTTGACAAGTCTTCATTAAATATTTCTAACACAGCTAAGTGTTGCAGATGGATACTATCTCGAAAAATGCAGTATTAGAATACCTAGATCAGGTACAGTGTTGCCATGTGATGTGAACCTCTGTGTAGGTTCTTGGATCATGAAGTCCAAAAATGGGATAAGTTTTAATTCAAAAGTAGTTCTCAACGCTGCCACATGGAACATTGCATCTGTCTTGTTGCTTGGCTACAAGTTAAGGTAGTTTTATCTCAATGTTGTGATTTGTTGTGACTATTATTAAATATTTTTGTAAATTCATCTTTTTATCTTCAAATATCCCAACTGCTACTTTCAAATGGTTGTAACATTGCACAATGATACACTCACCTTCTGAAGTTCCTTGGACAGTAGAAAAGTGATTTCTAATAGTAATCCAGTGATCATCAAGTTGATGGTATATTTGAAATTGCATATGCTTTTGTCAAGCAAATGTCCTTTATTTCTGATGTCATAATCTTTTTGTATTGCTTCCAGTGCTACAGACAGAGCTCAGTGAACACCATGATACTGTCATATTGCTCCATCCACCTAGTAGCACATACTTTTGCAAGCAATATGCCTGCTCTATGGACATGTGGACACACTGTCATTCATTTGGTTGATTCCTAAACATAATTGATGATTTCATTCAGAGTGCCTAGCATGTTTTCTGTTCCACATATTGCACAAAATTTGGATATGGCAAGATTCAGAGCATTAAACACAAATTGACTGTACTGGAAAAATCACATTTTATGTGAACCTATACATTGTTTATGCAGCTAGACATATTGGTGGCCTCTCTCAATTTTGTCAAATCCAGACCACTTTTTCATAAGAAATCCAAAATAGTTTTTTTTCTACTTGTCACCTGTAACAGAGAGTCAAATCCTGGTTATGGAGAAGAGATGGTAAAGCTTGAAAAACTGTCAGGGCCTCTTTGTAAAGCTCAAATCTTTTGGGCGGGTCTCAGAGGCTGGAAAACGAGCCTGCGGGAGACAGGGTAAGCAAAGTGGCAAACTCCCAAATGGCATGAACACAGCAGAGACAGCAAGAGACTCCTACCAGAGGAAGCAGCATAGGTTGGGTGACCACAAAGAGAGAGGGGCTAAGGAGTATAAAAGCTTGCTCAAGTCAGGAGAGGGAGAGAGTGTCAAGCCCTGACCACAAAAAAAGGACAGATAGCCCTTACTGGATGGAGGGATGGCCATGGCAGATGAAATAAGTAGTCCCAGATGGGGAATAAGTTCCTATTGGGATTTTCTTTTGTTTGAGCAGCATTCCCATGGTGTGATATCTTGAGTTGTGGACCATGTCCACTTATGCCAAGGTGGTGAGGAACTTAAGTTGAAACTTCTGTTCCACAGACACCTGTTGGACCAGGAGCAGCTATGAGGGGAGATGGGGAGAGGCTGCATAACTGAGTACCCCAACATCCTGTGTGATAGTCTCCCATCAGAGGGGGAGGTTGGAGGTGTAAGAACCAAAGCCCTAAGGCAAGAAACTGAGCTTAGCAGCTAGCCTAAAGGACCTACTGCTGTGGCCTAAGGGGTTAAGCAATGTATTTGTTGACCATAAGGGACTGGGCTTGAGACCGTGGAGGGGTAGTAAACCCAGAAGTGGTTTTGAAACAGAGAGGTTGTGGAGGGCCCAGAACAGCCTGGAGTGAAAGGCTAAGCTAGAGCAACTACCGTTGGGATATGGGGCCAGTAGGCACCAAAGCCCTGCTGGTATGGTAAGACCTTGTCATTGGGTTTCTTCCCCCAACCCTGCTTTGGACAGAAGCAGAATATCTTCCAGATTGCTTTTTCCCAGAAAGG